TGTTCCAAATTACTACATTTCTTGTACTAAGTTTTCTGCAAATTATAAATATTTTTTTTCCTAGCTTTTCGACGTTTTCTACCTGTTTCTCAGGAAAACATGACTGCTAGAAAGAATTCCTCCCCTATCGAAGAACGAGAATCCGAAATTGAAATTACAGAAGTCTTCAGCATTCTCCCCGTATCTTGTCTAAAATGCCATGCATTTGACAGATACCACCAACGACATATCTTTTTGGCCTGTGGCCATATTTTTCATCCCTCCTGCATCAGCGAATTCTGGATTGGAGCTCGATTCAGATGCCCCATCTGTCATATTGTTGGATATGGGTATGACATTATCACTTATGCATGGTAAATAAGGTAAGCAAGCTAATTACATTGACACATTTCTAATTTAGCTTTTCTAAGGAGTAAAAAATTATTTTAGGAATATTTCAAACAGCAACATTTTAATAATTGTGGCGATAAAGAATTATGGCAATAAAATATAAAATTAATCTGTTGTAAGCACAGTGTTATTTTCAACTAAAATTTGAAATTAAGATTATAAGAAATATTTATTCTTAGCATAATACGGGCATATCTTATACTGTAATAAATAATTTTCTTTTTAGATTAGTATAAATTAGAATATTTGGAGAAAGACAATTTTTGTTTAATTATTTTTCTCACGAGCCCTACAAACATTACTGATGTTTGATCAGATGAACTCTGAATGTAATGAGTTTTTCATGGATTTCTACGAAAATATTCTTCTCACCAGTGGCATACCGTTGGGTCAACACCCCATAGATCAACAGATTTTTAATTTTTATCATACAGATTACCCCTTATCACTTATGCCTAAGTGTGTTTGTTCTAGAGTGCAACCCCAACCTCTATAACAGGTTCGTGAAAGCCATGGTTTTTAACTATGATTTCTTCGCCTGGTTCGTAAACTTAAACTTATAACTTTTAAAAAACGTTCAGTTAAATAATTTTGTTTCTGATTTAAATCCAAATGCATTGCGTAATTGAGACATGTACTTTTTTAAATTTAAAATGAATCTTTTCAAATACATGCAAGAAATATTCTGAATTATTATTTTGGTTGAATATTATTTTAATAGATTTTATTTCACAATGTATAAGATAATGAATGGACTTGTTTTTTTTATTACTGTGTGTATTAATATTTCCACGTGAATAAGAATGCATTTTCAAGGTCACAGTCCTCAGTTATTTTGCATTCCTAGGTTAAAAAACAATTTTTAATGAATTCTCAAACTATTATATCCATATACAGTGAAAATCGCTTTACCCGAAACTGAAGGGTTGAAATATTTTTTCCTATTAAAAGAATATCGTTTTAAGAAATATGGCAAACAAACCATAAATCAACAAATATAAGTTTATTAGAGTTTAATTTATTTACATAGATATGTATATAAGCATATATTTAATGAAAATCAATGAAACAAAAACATTCACAAGAACGTAAAAGAAATTTAGAAGAAAGTTTTCAAATTTTTTGGAAAACAAACATTTATTGAGTTTTTGGAAAATAATGTGATATATTTTTTTTGCATTACTTTTTTTAGCATCAAATTGTTCGATATCGTCCATTTTGTTATTCATTTCACCATTGGAATGTGCGCATACTTCTCATGACGTTTCGGATGACGTGGGGAAAGGAGCTGCATTGTTCATTTCTTTTTCCACGTCGAAATCTGTATCAATGATATTGTTTTTATCTTTGAGCTTTTTGGAGCACACGTAATCATCTACTGCGGTGAACTCTTCCGATAATACAATAGGACAGTCCAGTCCGGCTGGTGTTTTCCGCATTTTGCTCATTCCCAGAAGGGAAATCTTTTTGTGTTAAGGTATCCGACTATGTTCGGAATCGTGATTTAAAAAAAAAGCTCATAAATAGATAATTTTCATCATATCTAGTGTCACATAGATTAGAATAAATTTATAAAATGGTTTTACGGACATTAAGACAAAAAAAAATTATTTAAATATAATATTTTAGCAAAAAATTAACTTAGAATAACCTTTTTTCAAAATGTTCTTTCATAAAAAATACTTCTATAGTAATAATATTTTGCTTAGATAAAGTAGACTTCTCCAGAGAGTCTGAACTAGGATTTTTTTTAAAAAAATTCACATTATTTTCAGAGTTACCACCCATTGAAATAATTATCAGCGTTTTTTTTCTTAAAATTTCTCTCCTCGGTTGTAGTAAAATATGCATAAATCCTCTTCTAAGTTATATGTTTCTAAAATTCTAGTTCAGCCTCTGTACAGAGGTCTGAGCTATAGACAGGCAAAATATTATTATAATAGAAGCATTTTTTACAAAAGGAGAATATTTGAAAATGGGTCATTCTATGCTCATTTTTTGTCAAAATATTGTACTTAAATAATTTTTTATTGTAATACTATTCTTAAAACAATTTTATTTACGTTTTCTAATCTAAGTGACACTAAATATCCTAAATATTATCCATTGATACGCTTTTGCAAAATTCCGGTTCCGAACGTAGTCGGATACCTTAAGAGAAAAAAATGCATGAAAAAACATAAGTTTGGCGGGACCGCTGTATAATTTCAAGTTAACCGATATTTCGTCTTTGCGATTTCGCGTTACGCGCACTTCACTGTTCTAAAATATTATTTTTCTTAACTTGTTTTAAAACATGATTAAATAGTTTCTCCTAAATCAGGGGTGGGAATTTTTTTTTTTTTTTTTTTTTTTTGTCTCGAGTAGTGGAAGCGGAGAACATAGGAGGGTCACACCTTCTTGTATTACTTACGTTCATTCGTTAAATTTGTATCGCAGATAAAGAATAAATTGGGCCATAAAACTCGATAAATATCAGAAACGATCACACTAGCACTCAATAATCACCTAAAACTATTAGAAACTTTTTCGACACTTGGAAAATAAAAATTAATATTGATAAAACAATAGCAGTACTCTTCACCAAAAGGAAAACAAAACCAACACCTCCTACTCTATACTCCACACAACTGCAATGGTCTCAGAACACAAAATACTTAGGACTGACTCTAGATAATAAACTCACATGGAAACAACATATAATTCAAACGCGAGATAAATTCCGGAGAGCTCAAAGAGCCTTTTTCCCCCTAATTAGCCGGAATTCAGTATTGAATATGTACAATAAGTTACTTCTCTACACTGCCGTTCTGCGTCCAATTCTGACTTATGGTTCACCTATGTGGGGTTACGCAGCAGATTCTAATATTAAAACACTCGAGGTTGCTCAGAACTCGATTATCAGAAATATAGTTAGAGCAGATAGATACACCAGAAATTCTAAAATTTATGAAGATACTAAAATTCTTCCTTTTAAAAGCTATATGCAAAAACTGGCTATTTCATTCTTTAACAACTTACCCAATATTGATAACGAAAACGTAAAATTGCTCAATAATTATATTCCAATGCCAGATCTCAAGAGACCTAGGAGAATCCTCCTAGACTCCTACAATCCCCCCTAACAATTATTTTAGTCACTTGCCGGGTGGCGAGTGACCACTACCCTTGCTAATTTCTTAAATTTTAAATTCATTTTAAATTTTTTCTTATTTTTATTTAATCTTACTCAATTGCAACCCCACACAGGCTAGTTCTCTAGACCTCCCCTCTGATTTGTTCCAATGCTTCAGTGCAGCCAATTGAGTGCCTACTCTCGCAGTGCCATTGACCAACCACAGCAAAGCCTTATAGACAAAATTTGGACATTCCCGCCGAAACCGTATTGAAGAAAATCCTCGATCTCAAAACCACGCCTACTTGCCACGTTCGAACCACCAATAAGGACACTCTCTCTCAGGCAGGCCCACCCACACAAGGACTCAGCAACAATCTCGATATGGGGTGGAGGAACGCTTCGCGTTCCATTTCCCAGTGACATCCAGCGTCATTACATAAAATAGTGTTGGTTTTATTCAATTTATTTATTGAGCTAATTTCATATCATCTATATAGCTGCAAGCACGCTTAAATTAAAAATCAGTTGAATGAGACAAATGTTCCGTATCAAACTTTTCGCCAATTGTTTTGAAATCAGGAGTGGGATTGCTTGTTAAAATTTCCATCACATCCTGCAAGTTAATGCCAAAGAACTTGCATCTTTATTTACTTTTGTTAATCTTCATGTAAGAAAAACTGCTCACAAATATACGACGACCCAAATATAGAGAACATTTTCTCTACATTTGATTTTCTCCCTGTCTTGGTGGGCTGCAAAAAACTCTTTGAGGGTCGTATGTGGCCCTTCGGGCCACTATCTGCCCATCCCTGTCCCAAGTAATATAAAACTTTAGGGATTTGAAAACAGAAAATTATTAGAGGTATATTTATTTTAAACATTTCTGTAGGAAATTTCTGATCTTGAAAGTTGGATTCGAAATGCTATCTTATTGACTCATTGTTTTCTTTTGATTTCAGGAAAATATCTTGGCCAAAAGACATCCCGGACTTGGAAATTTTTCTTCTTTTTTCCATTTTATTTATTAATTAATTTGTTTTTGGTCATTAATTTTACGATCATTATGGTGTTGAAGGAACTTCCGTTCCTGTAAACTTAAAACTTTTAAGATAAATAAACTTTGTATTTTGTGAAAATAATTACTTGTACTGTTTGAGTCTCACACAAGTATATTCATCAGTTCTGATCTTATATATATATATAAACAACATGTTCCTTATTCAATTTCTATTATTAGTTTTTTCTCTCTCTCTCTCTCTCTCTCTCGTTATATATATATATCTTGTTCAAATTTTCAATCGTTAATAACAAACTTTCTTTCATCCATTCAATTTCGAATACATTTTTTAAAACTTGAAGTGGATGATGACACTTGACGTTAATACAGTTTTTTCAAACATTAATTCATTCATTAATTTAAAAAATGAATAAATAGTAATGAACAAAAATAATAGTTTAATCAGCATATATAGAAAGGAAAGTCGTTCGTCGTGTCTCTGTAGCGCAATGGACAGACAGCGCTTTGGACTTCTAATTCAAAGGTTGTGGGTTCGAATCACTTCTGGGATGGCCTAATTTCTGAGAATGAGCTTTATTTTTTACTATACTGTTTTATTAAAATAATTAAATTTAATTAATGAATATAAATAGTAACAAAAAAATAGTCGAACACCATATATAGAAAGAAAAATTGAAAATTCTAAGGAAAATTGCTTTCAATTTTGTCACTTAACATTGTGATTCTGTCATATGTGTATATACATATTTATATTAATTCAAACTGTTTAGTAAAAAGTAACTAAAATAAAAATTTTCTTTGTTGACCTAAGTAGGAATTGACTTAAATTTTTTTATATTACTTGTTTTTCAAATAATATTTCAATAGAACTTCAAAAGTATTTTTTAAGTTATAGTTGATTCTCAAATTTTGTTTCAACTGAAATTAGTTTACTGTGGCACTCTTCAGAAGTACTAAGAAAATATATCCTTGTACGTATATTTTTCTAACGACGCGAAAAAATCTGTGTGAAGTATCAGATTTATACAACTGATTCCCAGTTCAAAACATTCCAACACATTAAATTAATAAAATTGATTCATATATTTTAAATTTCTGTAAAATACTTTTATCTATAAACACTAATCAGGCTTTAAACTGTAATATTTCACCGAAATAATTTTTAATTCATTGCATATATATTCAGTAATTATTACAATGTATTGATAAAACTCAACTCTCGTCGAGTTACGTTTAACAAACATTTTTACCGCAATGTACAACTAGGGATACTGGGATACCGAATACCGGTATTTTGAGCCATTTGTACAATTTTGTAATACCGGTATTCACAAGTTTAAATACCGGTTTTTCGGTATTTACTATGAAATTTTTAAATTATCTCCGCTATATGTTCAGGGATCGCCAACATAAAAAATTAATATACGTTTTTGTTTTTATGTCTCCCTAACGGGTGAAATGAATTAGGCTGTGAATAGAAAGTTGCATCGTACAATCAATAAAATATGTGAATCATTCAAGAGGCTAATTAAAACTAACCTATAACAGCTCAGAGCGATACTGCATACACGCAGGATTCAAATGAATTAGGCTGTGAATAGAAAGTTGTGCATCGCGCGCGCGCGTACAATCAATAAAATATGTGAATCATTCACAAGAGGCGAATTCAAACTATCCTAGAACAGCTCAGAGCAAACACGCACGATTCGTAGTCTGATATTCGTATCGAAGAAAATAAGGTTATAGTTGTGAAGAAAGTGCGAAATATTTCGATATATTTTTTTTTAATTGGCGAGTTTGTAATTCACATTATATTTGTATATCATACTTTAGGGTTCAAACTATTTTTTTTTTCAGATTCATTGTATGTATACTCGTAAATAATAACCCATAATAATGAATAAGTATAACTTTAAAGAACATAAAAAATCAGTTGATAATACTTCGGTTTGTAAAATTTGTAATAGTACTACAAACTGAATAGCGATATTTACACTTTTTTTGTGATTTAAATGAATAAAATGTTCTTTTACTTTTTTATGATTCTTTATATACTGTTTTAATTTATAAGTGTTTTAATTTAGAAGTAACTAATTTTTTTTGTGATATTAACACTCTAATAAAATTGGCAAATGAAAAAAAAAAGAAACACCTGTGTTTTCTTTCTTTTTCCGAAATTTCTACTACCGGTATTAAAACCGGTATCGCGGTATTAAGATCTGAAAAATACCGAATACCGGTATTGAACTTTTGGTCCGATATTGAAATCCCTATGTTCAACAAATTGTTTTTCATTTCAACTAATATTTTTTTCTCAATTTAAAAGCACTTTAGGGGTTATTCATTTACACATATAAAAAATAGTTTGATTTTCAATTAACATTGCACTTTAAAGCTGCTTGTGGGCTGTTGGTGATAGACCTCGTAATTTTGAACCACGCTCAAGTGACGAGGATGACAGCAGAGCTGGCATCCTCCTCTCCAAACTTCGACATCACGACAATGGGACAGATTCAAAGATTCAACGTGCATGAGCCTCTTTTCACGGAGGGCGGTTTTATTGCTGGTGCACTTTGTCCTGTCAGGCCTCAATCTCTTTCAGTCCAGTTTAGATGGCTGAGATCATTATTCAAACATTCAGTGTTAGGTTAAAATCTGTATGATAAAAACTAACTTAAGTATTTAAAATAATATACTTGGAATTAGTAGGTTTTCATTAAATTTTTATTTTTAAAAGACTTAATATAAAAACTGAAGAAAAGATCTAAAAATTGATCAGAGAAGATGAGCAAGGCATGTCTAGCCAATCGGGATGCAGCAGAAAAGTGCAAGAATTGATAAAATATTGATTGAAGATAAGATACCGTAAAGTCCGTCGTATAAGGCACACTTCCTTTTATATGAAAGAACCTGAAATGTATTTATGCAATGCTATTATGTTCTGAAATCATTTATTTGAGGTATTATCCCAGTCTTTTGAAAATATATATAGTATACTTCTAGAACAACAACTCTTAAGTTCATAAGGTACGGCATTTTTTTCAAAAAAAAAACAGAATTTCGACCCGGCGTATAACGCACTCTTTTAACACAGAAAAAAGTTCGAAATTTAAGGGTGCGCGTTATAACATCGGGTACAAAAACGATAGCTTTAAAAAAAAAAGATGAGCATACAAAAAAAATTAGGCATTTATATAGATCTTATTTTCTGTGTTAAAAGTGCGGATTTTACTGTAATTCTCCCAGTCGAAAAGATCCGAACGGAGAAAAGATGCTTAAAGGTGTAGCCGAAAAGAATGCTTCTTTAGTATTAAAACATTAGTGTTCAAGAGATGTTCATTAAATCTATTTTAAATAATGCTTCCTGCGAATTAATCGGGAGTAGTAATTATTCGGCTGTTAATTCTCTGGAAAGATTTCATCTCTCCCAGGTCTTCCATGCACATGGGAAATATTGCAGCGTTAGGATATTTCCTATGACTTTATAATCATTATAAAGTCATAATATTTGATAATCATTAAAATGCGTTATTTCATCCCTACCTGGGGTTGTTTTGATTTTTATCTTGTTAATCCTCTCCGAGAATGCGGAGGCGGTCAGTGGGAAGGAATTAGAGAGAAATTAGTTCCATTCTTGAGAAAGTCGTCCACAATTTGTGTAATTGTAGGATTAGTGTGTGGCTTGAGTACACCATTGAGTTCAAATTGAATCTCGAAAAAATCCTCTAATGCAGGGATGTCCAACCCGCGGCCCGGGGCCGCATGTGGCCAGCGAGATTCTTTACAACTTTACAAAATTCGACTATCTAGTACAATATTTCTTGTTTAAAGAGTTTTTCTTTTTTTTTTTTGTAAAAAATAAATCTCATAACTGTTATTATTTTATCACTTTGCTTCTGTTACTGCGAATTGCTTTTTTTTTCTAAATTGAAATTTATCAAACATAAATCATGCTCAAAATTAACGCACGAAAATCTGCAACATCAGTTACGGTACGCAAATACACATGCATTGAGATCGACTTGCAAAAACTAAGTGAAAGAGGGCAGAAACAGATACAGTAGAACCTGTTTTTGTGCGGTCCTTTTTTATTAGTATTTTATTTTTGTGTGACCACATAAAAAATATTTCTGCAGTGTTTCGATGAATTGGCTTGTTATATGTAAGAATTCCTGAAATTTTCGAATTTTTTTTTTTTTTTTTTTTACGTTTATTTTTATGCGATTTTTATCAACCGCACAAAAACAGGTTCAACTGTATCTCACTAATTAAATAAATTGAACATTACTTGATCATTGCATTATTATTACTGCACTATCGATGTTTGTTTATATACATGAAAAACAATGAAAACAACAATAACATATCAGTCTGTTTTAAATTTTCACTCCAACTAATGTTTGTAATGGATCCAAATCTAATATAAAAGATATATATTTTTATATGCAGCCCGCGGGATTGTTAAGTTCTTCCGAAGTGACCCCGCGAGGTCATTGGCGTTGGTCACCCCTGCTGTAGTGTTTCAATTTGATCATAATCACTTAGTGCTTGCTCTTTTAAGGGCGGAAATCTGAGAGGCATTTTTCCCGCACGCTTCCGCAATTCCCCCTCCAAACGACGAGTCATCAGTACTGAGGGAAAGACACACCCCTCCTATTCATTAAAAGTTTCCTATAGGCTGGTTTTTCAGCACTGCAACCTGAGCACTAGTATTTCCAATTTCGACATTGCTCACAACAAGAACTTGATATCTTGTACTCCCTGTTGCGTACCATGCTTGGTAATTTCAAAAGGTGGACGAAAGATTCGGTTTCCAATTTTTGAACTCATTATAATTGCATCACCTGAGCTGCTTTGAAATAAGCATTACTCCTTTTGTCAATTATGGTGGGTGGTCGTGAATCAGAATCGAATCCGATTCTGATATATGTTAAACACTGATGGCCATTATAATTGCAACACTATGTGAAAAAGCAAATAACAAAACTTATTAACTTATTGTACGTGCGTGCATAACGCTGTAGGAAGAAAATATGATGAAATTTGTAGGCAATTGAGGGGGATAAACAAGGCTCGAAATTAATATATGGTCATGCAGAGTTCTTATTTTTTTAGAGTCTTTAATAACAAATGGATCCAGAATTTTTAAAAATCGGTCAAAAAATACATGCTTGTTATTTTGCAATTTCTTTGTGTTATATAATAATCAGAAAAAAAATTATGTAGAGAAATAAAAAACATTTTCTAATTGCTTGAAAATTCTTCATCCATTAGAAACAATATAAATCAAATATTTGACAATTATAGAATTGTTTATTGATGACGAACCACAAAACAGAATTTTTTTTTCGTCAAAGTAAAAGTAACTATATATTTTTCTTAATTTCGAGTTCAACTATTATATTAATTTAGTTTTGTATAATCAAGTAAGTAATCAGTAAATGTGCAGGAATCCCTGTTGTTAATTTTTTAAAAAAAATGCCGTGTAATGCGAATTCGTATTATTGAAAATAAAGAACTAGAACAATAAACGAAGTTAGTTTCTGAAAAT